GTGCTGGACTCCCACATGGCCAATCCCAGTCCAAGTTCTGGACCTGGCAGATTGCTTCCTAATGTTCTCTCACTATCATTCTGTCCCTCTCTAGTCAAATTAAAATAAACGAACAAAGTCAGATAAAATCATTCTTAAATAAAAAGGTCCTTGGATTTGATCTTTATTGTGCTGTCTTGAAAATAAGTCTTTGAAGGAAAAAACATTTTCTATGCTAAAATATATGTAATAGATTTGTGATTGTGTACATATTATTAAGTAATTATATTTCATGCATAATTTAAAATAGAAAAAGTCAACCACAGAACTAAAACAAGATGATGCTGGTCCAAAAGTAATGGATAACAACTGTGGACACCTAAGATAGTGTGGGAGGCAGGTGGGAAATGGCAGAGGGTGAGAAAAAGGGGTAAAATATATATACATGTAGATATATGAAACTAGAAATAGAAAATTAATGATGGTAACATACGTAATTAAGCCACTATGCAGTATATGTTGAATGGGAAATTACATTTTGTATTCTGTGACAATGCTAAGGGAATGAATGTAAATTAATTAATTAATTAAAAATACTTCAGAGGAAAATTACAAGTGCACTTGTAACTAGATTCTAGCTTTGTCCATAGTTTTAGTTTAAGGTATTTTGTGAATCAATAAAATGTGGGGAAAAAAAGTAAATAAATAAGTAAAAAGAAAAAAAAGATAATGCTGGTCTAGAGGTAAACAAATAACAACAGAACAGGGACCAGCAGTTAGCGTAATGGCTATGTCGCTGGACTCCCACATAGTTGACCACGGTTCGAGTCTTGGACCTGGTGGCTTAAACTCACACCGGGCACATGTGCGTGCGTGCCCAAGATCCCGAGAGGAGAATGGAGGAGAAGGGATTGCGGCGTGGCCATCCCCCCTCGGAGTTAATTTCTCACTTTCTGTCTCTCTGTCTTTCTCTGTCTCTCTGGCGAGCGCACACGCCCTATAGCAAAAACCTCTCCAAAAAAATTATAATAAATAACAACAGAACAGAAACCAAACTATGCAACCTTGAGGTATTGTAAGGGTAGAACAGATTAGCTGAGGAAAATATAAAAAGAGTATTCAATAAATAGTGTTGGGGTGCCAGCAGACAAGAAAGTGGTTATATCACTGGACTCCCACAAGGCCAACTGCAGGTTGAGTCTCAGACCAAGTGGCTTGAAAATCATGTTAGGCAAGTGTATGTGTGTGTGTGTGTGTGTGTGTGTGTATGTGTGTCCAAAATTCCGGAGGAAAAAGGATTGCAGCATGGTCATCCCCCCTTGAGGGGAGGGGGATGCTTTCTGGCTCTCCAGAGAGCACACCCTATAGCAAAAAAACTCTCAAAACATAAATAAATGAATAGTGTTGAGATAACTGGTTATTAGTATGGGAGATAATGAAGTTATAAATATCTATCTCAAATCAAACATAAAAAGAAAAACAATTCAAGGTAAATTAAAGATTTAAAATAAAAAGTAAAACATTACAAAATAAGTATACCCTTTTTGTTTTGAGAGGTTTTTACTATGGAGTGCGTGTGCTCTCCAGAAAGACAGGACAGAGAGACAGAAAGTGAGAAATCACCCCCTGAGGGTGGCCAAGTCACACTCCCTTCTCACCCATTCTCCTCTGATGATCTTGGGCACACATGCACACATGCCTGGCATGAGTTTAAGCCACCAGATCTGGGACTCGAACCGCAGTCGACTACATGGGAGTCCAGTGACATAGCCATTACACCAACTGCTGGTCCCAATATACCATTTTTTATTCTTCAGGTTGGGACGCATTAAGAAGCAAAAGAGGATGAACCATTAAAGGAAAGGACAGGGGACAAGCAGTTAGTGTAATGGCTATGTCGCTGGACTCCCACGTAGTCGACCACAGTTCGAGTCCCAGACCCGGTGGCTTAAACTCATACCGGGCGTGTGTGCATACATGCCCAAGATCCCAAGAGGAGAATGGAGGAGAAGGGATTGCAGCATGGCCATCCCCCCGGGGGGTGATTTCTCACTTTCTATCTCTCTGTCTCTCTCTGTCTGGCGAGCACACGTGCCCTATAGCAAAAAAAAACAAAAAAAAAAAAACAAAAAAAACGAAAGGACAAATTGGACCAGGAGATGGTATAGTGGTACATAAATGAACTCCCACATGGCTGAACTCGGTTTGAATCCAGGAACCGGTGGATTCAAAATCATGCCAGGCAAATGTACGTGCATGCCTAAGATCACAGGAGGAGAATAAAGGAGAAGGGATTATGGTGTGGCCATCCCCAGTGAGGGATGATTTCTCACTTTCCCTCTCACTGTGTCTGTTGGTCTCTCTCCCCAGGGAGCACACGTACTCGAAGGCAAAAACCTCTAACAAAATAAGTAAATAAATAAAAGAAAAAGACAAATCTTACTTTCATTAAAATGAACTCCTATCAGTAAGGAAAAACAAATATCACAACATAGAAGTAGATAAAAAACAGGACAGACATTTCAATGATATAGTTAAAAAAACATGAAGACATTCAATTCTTGTTATCATGAAAATGCAATTAAAATAAAAATAAGATTCCATTCATTTCTGAACAGACTGGCTAATAATCAGGTTTTGGCAAGGATGTAAAACAAGAATTATCATATACTGCTAGTAGGATTTCAAATTGGTCCAAATATTTAGAAAAATCATTACCTAATAAAATGTAATTGGTACTATCTAGCAATTCTAATAAATTTGTCAGAGTTGCTACAACAAATACCACAGATTGGGTGGTTTAAACAACAGAATTTTTTTTTCTCACAGTTCTGGAGACTAGTAGTCCAAGATCAAGGTGGTTTCTTCAGAGGCCTCTCTTCTTGGTTCACAAATGGTTGCTTACTCACAGATCTCTTCTCTGTGCATGTGAATGTCTGGTCTCTGTGTGACCTAATCTCTGCTTTTAAAGACCAGTCACATCAGATTATCACATGAGCATGTGCACATGTGCACATACACTCCTCTCTCATTTTAACTCAGTCACCTCTTTGAAGGCCCTATCTCCAAATACAGTTACTTTCTAAGGTACTAGAGGTTAGGGTTTCAGCATATGAATTTTAAGAGAACAATTCAGTTCATAACACACCTCTCAGCATTTTAGCTAGAAAACTTATACACATACTTCAGATAGCAGTATTTTCATAATAGCAAATGATGTAATGGACAACTGGTGTGCTGTATTTCTAAAACAACAGCATAAAACAGGGAAAAGGGAAGAGCTATGGCTACAATGTAAATTTAGACGACTTTTTAAAGGTTTCTTTTATAAACAACACTAATTAATTTTCTTACAGTTCTGGAGGTCAGGAGTCTAAGACAGGTCAGCAGAGTTGTTTTCTTCTGTAGGCTCCAGGGTATAACCCATTTCCTTGCCTTTTCTGCCTTCCCACTTTCTAAATTTTATCAGAAGATGTGTGCACTCACTATAGACAGAGAGGGAAAGCAGGAAGTTACCCTCCATGAGGCATGGTCACACTGCGGTCCCTCTTTTCTGTTTCTCTCTACTTTCAAGACATTGGACAAACAGGCACACGTGTCTGGCATGTCCCCCAAAGCCACTGAGTCTAGAGCTTGAACTGCACAGTTGTCCTTGTGGAATCCAGTTGCCTTATTAACCACCAGGCCATGAGTTGGCCCCTGGATTACGTTTAGCAACAGTATTAAATTTAAAAAAAATAGTTATAAATATATACATCCAGAGGCCAGCAGGTGGCCTGATGGTTAAAGGCCTTGGATTCCCACATGATCAACCATGATTTGAGTCTTGGACCTGGTGGCTTGCTTTCTCACTTTCCCCTTCTCTTTTTCCCTTTCTCTCTGTCTGTATCTGGTCAGATTAAAAAAAAACAAAAACAAAAACAAAAACAAAAACAAAAACAAAACCAACAAAAAAACCCACAATAAATGGAATCAAATAATTCTTTTAAAATATATATTTTTTATTTAAATTTGTTTATTTGCATTCATTCACTGTACATCATTACAACATACAAAATGAGATTTTCTGTGGGAGGCTGCGCGAATATCTCCAGTTTCTCAGAGAGCAAATTGTCCCGACCCAGGGGGACAGCCAAACAGGTTTCCTGAGTGAAGGAGTGAGAGCCGGTACAAGCGGCATAGTGTTACAACACGGAGACGACAGTGTCATCCATTTATTGTGGGCAGCACGGTACAGGGTCATTCGGAGACGATGTAGTGTTACAACTCTTCAGGGTCTCCCAGGTTGTCTGGAGACGATGCAGTGTCAGCTCTTCAGGACCTTCAGGGTCGTCTGGAGACTGCACGGTATTTCAGCTCTTCAGGCTCTTCAGTCGTCGTCTTCCTGGTCGTCGTTGTCGTCCTGGTCCTCGTTGTCTTCTGGCTACTGTGGGCCAGGCATCCTGGCTATATACACGCTGGTGGGGTGTAAATGGTGGGCCCTGATTGGTTGTAAACAGTGGGCCGTGATTGGTTGCTTTTGGACCAATCATGAGGTGCTGGATATGCAAATTTGAGGGATTCTAGTGGCCAATCAGAGCAAGGTTTCGAAGGCCAGGTTTTTTTGAAGGGAACCAATCATGGCAATTGTTTGCTACCTGAGAAACCTCGGCAGATTCGCAGGTGCGCAGCCTCCCACAGCAAATAATTACACAATGCCAAAGGCCATGATTGGCTCCCCTTCAAAATCTCACCTTCAAAACCATACTCTGATTGGCCACTTCCCATAGCAAATCGGTGAGCTTAGAATCCCTCAGATTTGCATATCTGGCACCTCATGATTGGTCCACAAAAGCAACCAATCATAACCCACCTTTTACAATCCTTCACTCAACCAATCACTGTCCACCAACATGTATATAACTACGATCCCTGGCCCACAATTGCCAGATGACCCTGAAGACCCTGAAGAGTTGTAACACTGCTTCATCTCTGTGTTGTAACACTGTGTTGTTCATCCTGTCTCTCACTCCTTCCCTCAGGAAACCTGTTTGACTGTCCCCTGGGTCAGGACATGTGGCACCCGAACAGGGACCCTGAGTAGAAGGATCCAGTAAAGAGCACCCGAGAAAGGATGACAGAGAATCGTCCAGGAGAGGACAGGAGAGAATCGTCCTGAGAAAAGACAGCAGAGAATCTTCCAGAAAAGGACAGCAGAGAATCATCCAGGGACAGCAGAGAATCGTCCAGAAGGGGACGGCAGAGAATCATCCCAAGAAAGGCCACAGAGGAGGATGTCAGAGAATCATCCCGGTGAGTAATAAAGATTGCTTACTTATAAGTAATAAGGGTAATAATGGGACAAGAGCTTAGCCAGCATGAACAAGAGCTTAGTCAGCACGAACTATTCATTCAGGACTTAAAAGAAGCCCTTGCCACTATGGTCACTAATTCTAAAATTGAAAAAGAACAAGGAGAGGATCTTATTTCCCTAGATAGTGAGGGAGAAGTTAAAAGCCCCGAAGGCAAGACAAAGCCCCCAAAATCGAAAAAAAAAAACTAAAAAAGAAAAACAACCTTAAGGCTCTACAAGAACTAAAGAAAAACAAGTCATCAACTAGTTCAGAGGAGGAAATCCTAGAGACTGAGGCTGACAAATATAATAACCTCAAACGGTCCACCTTTCAAAAAAATAAATGGCCGCCACCCTATAACACTACCGCTTCAGCACCACTTCTTATTGACCCAAAACAAAAAATAGTTAATGAAATAAAACAATTAAAAGAACAAATCAAATATAATAACCTCAAACGGTCCACCTTTCAAAAAAATAAATGGCCGCCACCCTATAACACTACCGCTTCAGCACCACTTCTTATTGACCCAAAACAAAAAATAGTTAATGAAATAAAACAATTAAAAGAACAAATTTGATTAGAAAAAGAACACCAGGAACTAATATCACAATTAGAGAAACTAAAAACCAATATAGACAAAGAAACAAAACTAATTCAGGGATCACACACGACAGACTTTGAGACATTCCCTGTCACAGAAACTACAGATCCCCAAGGACAGGTTTGGCGCAGTCACAGCGGGTTTGACTTTAAAATGGTAAAAGAAATTAAGGCAGTGGTCGCCCAATACAGAGCTACTGCTCCATATACCTTAGCTATAGTTGAAGCTATC